GTGAATGATTTTATGATTTATGGAAATTTAAATTTTATTTTGATTCTGAATTATTTAGTTTGGGGCTTTAATTTTGGGGAGAAGCGGATGCTTCGGGAAATATTATTTGGTATAAATGAATATTATTTATTTTCTTTCTATTTGCAAATCATGTACAAACTTTTGATTCATTGTGAAAGAGGCGGGGAAAGGGAGGCAATTTTCGCCAAGTCATGATTTCGCGCGCTTTAGAATGTTCGAGAAAGAATTTTCATTGTTAGTTGACCTTAAGAGAGAAAGTACGTGACGGAAAGGTCAAGGTTGCTACTGTCTTTCAATGTAAGTCATTCAGGTTTTTGGCGATTGAGGGTCCGGTTGTTGGCTAAGTGAAGAAGGGCGCGCATGCGCGATCACCCTTTTTTCCGCAATTCTGGAGTTTGAAAAACGAAGATTTTGCCATAATTAAGGGGCGATAAGTGAAGCCATAGTAGGAGCCCGTTTTGGGAAGGAGACGAAGGAAATTCGAGTTGGATACACACTTACTTTGGGCTGACTCTCGGACTGACTCGCTGATTTTTGGGCTTGCTGGACAAAATGTAAGTGACTCCGAGAGGTGTTTTCCGGCGGGGAGCGGCAAATATGCTCCCCGGCCGCGTTTTGGTTAAGAGGCGAGACTCTCTTACACACTTACTTTTGGACTCGCGCACTTACTGGTTGGCTGGACTTGTGGATGTTACTCTGGAACTTACTTGGGACGTTACCCGTGAAGCTTGCTCTTGGGATGAGTAAGAACAGGCGAGCCGTAATTTCCTAGCAACAACGTTTCTGACCGGCGAATTTGAACGAGTTACCTGCGTGTTGACATAGGACTTTCAGGACCAGCGGATAGCCGTCCGGGGCAGCAGTGCTCCTGTTTCTGTTCTACAGTGGTGAAGTGGGTCCACATTTTTAGAACCAGTGTCAAGATGAGCCCGGCCGCATCAACGCGGGATAGATAAGAGTCCTCCGCTTCAAGATTCCCTTCAAGATAAGTTTTATTTTTTTTGGTGTGTTTGAACTTTAGGCAAGCTTTTCAAAACGTCCTAGCAGAAAAAAAACACCGTCAAATCTAAAATTAACTCTCAGGCCTTAAATTGTTTCCCTTTCCTTTCTTTTTTAATCACCAGACAACCTAAAGTTATTTTATGAATTTAAATAACAGACTCTCGATGAGGTTAAGATTTTCTTATGTGTTGTAATTGAACAAACTGATATTTAATCTGGAACCTCTTTACAGTATGTTTTCTTTATATATTTAATATGAACTTTTCCTTTATATCTTGTATATGTTTTATGTTTTCGATCCTCTCACGCGCGGTCCCGGAATGCATTTTTTCACAACGCAAAATGCTGTACACACTTTCACTATACGATTACTGCCTTTTACGGCAAGTAGTTTCATATTAACATTTAAACAATATAGGAATTTCAGATATAACATGGTACCTAGAAGTAAAACTATTTAACCTTGGTGTCGAAACTTTCTTCTATATAACATTGGTGCCGTGAAGTAAGATTCATAACATTATTTCCCGGCGTGAACTTAAGCAATTTAACACTGGTTAATGACTATCTGGAAAGCGAAGTTACTAACCATATGGATTAGCCACTCAAATCTCCTGACCTTAATCCCATTGAAAATGCTTAGGATGCTCTTGGGAGGGCTATTGAAATATGCCAACCCCTAACCAGAACCATTCAGGAGTTAAAAATTGCTCTAATGGAGGAGTGGGTGCAACTTCCACAGGGATTCTTGAACTCTCTAATTAACAACATGGCTACTGGTTGTGCATGCTGTCTGTCTATCAGAGGCGACCACACACCATACCAGGCACATTTTCACTGCTATCTTTCAAACTCAAATTTGGACCACATTGGACTCTTGGCCAGAACACATGTTAATGAATGTCATTTTTGTTGTTGTTTTGTACACATAATTGTCATCCAATAAACTACATCCATACCTAATTTCATTTATTTCTATCTGGTATTTCTCGAGATATATTGGGAAAAAGAGTTTCATTTCTTAATTTTGTCCACCAGTTAATATTTTGCAAAAATTGATGGATTTAGATACAGCCATAACGTTTCCTACAAAACTGTTACGTAGGAAAGCAAGCCCGTTGCAACAGTTGACTGCGCAACCAGAATGGATCTTCCGGAATGTAATACAAAGAATCATGCTGCATTGGCGATCTGTTTTTGATATGTCTTCACCCTCTGTTTTCCTCGAAAAGAAACGTGTCACAGAGGCAAGAATCGAAACCATGGCTTTTCAGAACTTTTCAAAGCTACTGGCATTAGCATTCTTTTAAATGCTAATGCCGTTAGCTCTGAAAAGCTTTCACCACATTCAAGAGAAAATTTCACATATTGTTTCAAAAAAATATAACACTCATTTACTGTTTTACAAGGTCTACAGACAGGTATATATTTTCCTGTGTAAAGAAACGCTGAAAACGTTTAAAGGAGCGATGAAAGAAAGTAAACAATTTTTTTTTCTCATTGACCCAGACCCATGCTTTGGATCTAAGTGTCATTAAATATTTTGAAATTCTGTGCTGCAAACGCTTAATGTAAAGTTATTGATGATTTGACGACAATGGAATGTTCTGGAAATAAAAGCTAATGTTAATATTCTGCTAAGCACGGAGCTTGTTCACAGAAATTAGTTGTGATGTTATAAATAGCTAACTAAATTCTGTTTTCACAATGCGGGGTATACTCTTTCAAGCAATTAACAGGATGGTGCATAAGAATTAGTTGACGAATTCGAAGTTTCCGAAATAGCGGATTAGCGCCTTAGTGCTCTAAAAAATAATTTTTTACAGGTTTCGCAAATTTCGATTTTCAAGTGTAATTCTGCGTTGCAAAATGTTGAAAAAATCTATGATGAACGGAAAGCGAATGTGGTACTAGCAGACTCCAAAAGTGAAGACTGAGTATGTTATACCCGTATCAAAAATTGCAGGTAACACTAACAGAACAACGTAGTATAAAAAAAAATTGAGCAATGTGAAAAATAGCACTTGATTTAGTGATAATGTATGAAATCATTGGATCTATTTTAACATATGCTTACCTGCTGATATGGTATGCTCAACAATAAGGACTAGATTACTTTATTCGAAAAAGGCCTCGAGGGCTATTTTACCGGGGTTCCTCTCAATTTTGTTCAAAATCCCCTAGGAGATAGAATCCGAGAGCCTCATACTCCTCTTCTTCTACGATCAGTCTCTCAAGAGGATTTCCGATCCAGAGATTTATAGGTGCCTCCATGCAGCAAAATTATTACAAACAAAACCGCGAATACCTTATTCAGAATTCGAATAAGAGCCTAAAGGCGTGCATGGCAGTCGTCCCCCTACCCAAATTACGATTAGGGGTAGTGACATGGAAGTTGAACGGTTTTGAAATTAAAAGTAATACTTCTGTTATGTGTATGCATTTTTTAAATTTAAAAGTAACACTTTTGTTGCACTTTATGCCTAAAATTTTAAAGAGTTAGTGCATTTGAAAGTATAGGTAAAATTTTGTAAATTAATAAAATAAATATATTTTTTTTTACAATTATAAATATTATAACTGTATGAAAATTTGTAACGATAACTAGTTTTAAATCATTAGCAAATATAACAAGTCTTCCGACTGCAAATGATACGCGTAAATGTATTTATTACACACATATAAATTTATTAACTTTCAAATATTTTAAATTATTTTAAAATTTTCAATAAACGTATGAAGGCATTAGTTTTTATGAGCTACCATCTAAAATTATAAGCAATTAACTTTCTTTCTTTTTTTATGCCCATGAATACACAGAACTGCAAATAATGATCAGTTTTTTAAATAAAGTCTTACGTAATCAGTATATAAAACCAGATATCATTTTATAAAATTTTAGGGAAGATATTAAAATAATTGTAAATTATTGATGTTATATTATTATCACTCCAAACCCCATACAAGATATGTGCACTGCAAAAATGCTCATCTATGTTTATACAATGTGCTCCAATGAAAAGATGGCTGATATTTAATAAAACAGAAGTATGCTTTTTTTATCATTGGTCATTCAAATTAGATTCTTTGTGATTCAATGCATCTCTGAAAATGTTTGGAATAGGGCCTAAAATAGTCTCCTACGTTATCCGGAATCGAACTCCTTTAAAGGCCATTTTTAATTTCACAAGTAAGCAAACGTCAGTGGAATGAAGAAAATAGAGAGAATGTTTAAGCACTGGTATACTTCTTTTGGCCAAAAAATCGCGTGCAAACTTGTTGCTGCCAGCCGGCACGTAATCACACAACAACGACCAAGAAACTTACTTACAAGTTTCCAGTCACATTCGGAGAATGTTTCCAGGAAGATTCAAGACACTAAAATAGTATTTAGTGTTTACGTCTTGACGTTCGTAGTTTTCGCGGCGAACGATGTTTTTGGAATTGAAATAGAGAGACAAGAAAATATGAACAATGTTTCGATTTGGCTCTTTTGTATTCACAATTTCTTTGGCTTTCCTTCAGTTAACGATCTGGATTGCACATTCTGATGCTTAATTAATCGTTCGTATTGAGAGCAATATGTTTGTCAGAAATTCTGGCTCTGTAGTTGCGTTTCTTTGCATGTCTCTGCAATGTTTCTCTGCGGCATCGTTTTGATCACTCGCCCGTTACTGAGAAAAAGAACCTGTGCCTTGGTAAATCTTTCGTTAAAATACAATGAACATTAACTTTAGAAATTCCGAAATCTTGCAAATCTATTGAAATGATAACGTTGTTAACATGCTCTTATATAACATTGTTGCAATGATAAAAACAATTAGATTCATTTCAAAAGTTTCAATACAAATTTTTTTCAATTTAAAAATAAATATAAAATTAGCTCTCTGTTCCCTCATAGCTACAGCTACTACAAGAATTTTTGTTCAGCAGTAGCCAAACTACGCTAAACTAAAGAAGCATAGGCCTCAGCAAGGCAGCTTGAAGACAAAGCCATGAACCTTTTCACTGGAACACATTGCTTATCTGCATATGTATGGATGTATGTTTAAAGGTTACTCTATTTCAGTAGTTCTGTGAGCCTGTACGTCCTCTTCCTGTGTGCAGATCTTGGATTGCAGCTTATGTTACCTACTTGGAAATGTCGTTATTAACGGAGGAAATATTAGTGAACAGCGGGTTTATTCATTGCATTTGTCCAAGCAGCCAATTACTGTTAAAGAATGATAGCCATTTTCACCAAATGGACAATGGAATAGCTATAATCGCTACAAGCTACATATGCAAGCCCGTAAGTTGAATTTATTTTTATTGCTTTAGCTGTAATGCATTTTTCATGCATTACGGCTTTATGACTACAGTGACTTAACTCAGATATTCTGGAATGAAGAAGTCTTTGTCTAAGCTGCTTTTGGTTACAAATATAATGGATATTGGATGAATGAGTAATATACAATGGATGAATATTTTTTTTACAGTCTGTGTATGTTTATTTCGTTTATTATGTAAGGAATTGTCTATTTCTCACAAATGCTGTCGTAACGTACAGTGACAAAAGTGAAAGCACACTTTGTATTTTCTAAAAGAAAGGAGAACAATTGTAAATTTCATTATTTTTTGAGATCATATGCTATTTGTATAATCTTTAGAATATTACAAAGGTAAATGAAAACGTTAAATTGAAATTCAAATTAACAAACTTGCAGAAATAAACAGAACTTTTCAACTCACGAAAAGGAAGGACAAATGCAAAAGCACAGTGCTGAGTTTTATTCAAATTAAATTATATTGCGTCATTCTGTACGTACCAATCAGAGTGATATAAGACAGGTACTAGTTTTAATTTTCTGATGTAGTACTGAAAGCTTGACTATTTCTGCTTAGTTTGTCGAAATTTTGAAATGTCTCGGAAGCGTGTGGGAAACTAAAACTGGAAAAAGAAAAATACAATAATTTTTTTGTGTGTGAAAGCATAATTTTAACTGTTAGTTTTTTTTGGGGGGGAGGAGTCACTTTGGTTTTAATTAAAAAAAACAACTTGTGGTTAGTTTTTTTTTCGGGGGGGGGACAAACAGTCAAGATGAACGAAGTGCATTTTCAGAACTCCTTAGTCATTCTTCTTTAATGTTTTAAATTATTAAGCTATGAACTATGAAACATAAATGCCCCAAATGTTTTAAAATTCTTTCTTTATTTAAAAAATTAAGAAAAATTACTTTTACTTTTATTTAAATTGCTTAATCTTAATAGCAATTTGTTTACTTAATAAATATTTTCCATTTTACAATAATTCTTTTCCCTTTCCAAGGAAATATGATATTTTTAGTGAGGAAATTATATTTTGAAAAACTAAATTTTCAATCTAAGGTCCTAAAGTTCTTGATTTTATTATATAAAGGTTCTACATTTACTTCCTTTATTACATCTATGTAAACCCCAAAAATAATTTACATCCTATTTAACACAAAAAACAAAGATTGAAAGCATATATATATATATATATATATTACGCCCAAAGAGGAGTTTTTAACGTTTTGGTGTGTTACCTTATTAAATATCGGGTTCTTCGCACTTAACCATAAAATTCAGTTCAACAGCAATATCGCAAAATAATTTAAAATGAGCATATCTTTAAGAATTACCGGAGATACAAAGTCTCGGGCGCTGGAGATAAAAATGTTTTTTTTTTTATTCCGTTCACAGTGATCGCTTTGAAACCGCTCCCTGAGTTTGTTAATCCAAATTTACGTTAAAGGCTTACAAAATATGAAATAAATAATAAAACAAATTTAAAATTTAAAATTCGTTCTTCCAAGTATGCCTAATATTCGGGTGGATGGACGTTTACGTTATTCAAAATCTGATGGCTCTAGGTACCGTTGTTTTATCACAATGCGAGAAACATACATACATTTATGCAGGTTCTTCATTATTTAATTTCTTTAAATATAAAGCAGGGCTCTAATATTTGGTGGCAAAAATTTGAAAAGTAAACCGACATTGATAGTGAATCAACGCAAAATGCCAAAATGAAATTAGTAGCCCTTTGGGCTAATAATAACTAATGCAATGATGCAATGGTTTACTGGTAAAGTTAAAAATGTATAAGTTACATTAAAGTAAAATGTCAGATGAAGAAACTGTGCGTCAGGAAAAAAAAAAATTTGAAGGCCAGTTCAGTCGATAAAATTTGTTTTCCTTACATGGTACTTCTTTGTCTTTTAGTGCCTATATATTTTATTCAGTACCCAGCTTTAGAAAATACAGAAGCACTGAGTTGTTCAACTGAAAAGAAACGATTTCTTTCTTTGCTTCTAATATACATTAAAAATTTGTTTCAGTTGATTTGAATAGCTAAAAGATATCCAAAAATGCTTGAGCCTTCCTTCAGTCTAATTTACTCATTCATTGAACATGACGGTAATTCAAGGATTTTGAATAAAATCTTTCCATGCTTGTAATCTTAAAAGTTTTATCTTAATTATATTTAATTTTTAATTTATTTGTTTGTTTATTTATTATAATTTTTGGGGTTGTTGGTTAACTAACTAATTAATTACTCGAAGTGTCCATGGTCCTTATCTGAAAGACACTCATTTTGCTCAAACATAAGAGAAATGTCACAACATTTACGCTTAAAGAGAGAAAGGATGTAGTTTAGTAAGGTTTCGCGCTAACAACAAGAAATTTTTAACAGTTTAGGGGTTAGATTCCAGTTAATTTAAAGTTACTTGGAAGGCTAGATCTTAACTTGAACTGTGAAGCGACAATTCACTAAATTCAACTTTTTCAGTAAAAAGACGTAAGAAGGGTGAAAAGACCCTTTTATTCAGCTCAAAAATAAAATGTGTACAAATGGCACTCATGGTGCTTTCACGGCTTTCCAAAATCGAAAATGTAAAATTAAAACTAATTTTAAGTTGAATAATCAAGTCGAAGCAGCACAGAGATATTTAAACACGTAGTTGACTCTTCGCTATACCACCGAAAGTAGACTAACCGGCAATTATCATATGACCGTAAAATAGCAAGCTTAAGTAGCAGCTAAAGAACGTGGTCGAAAGGCTTAAAGCTCTGTCTGATTCACTAAGTACCAGTTTAAAGAGTAGCTTTCTGTCCTAGTTTGCATAATGTGCGAAACTAAATTCTGACTCTGACAAGAAAGCTTGGGTTGAAAATAAGAGATGTAAGAAAGGTTGCTTTCAAAATAAAAGTAAATGTAAATAAAATTAAAAGAAAAACCCACATTGTGTTATAAAGTGATTATTTGTAGATGATTAGCAATGCCCTTAATGTTACTTTCCCAGCGGAATGATCATAGTTAATAGTTTAACTTGAGATTTAGTGCTTGTCATTTTATCTAGAAAAAGGAAAGCACTAATGTGTACCAAATTAAATGCGCAGATTCACTCTGTTCAATAGTAAATTATTACAGCTGTTTATGAGTAAGGATACTATTTTCCAAAGTTTACATTGAAAAATTAAATTATTTTATGAGTTTATGATATTCTTTTCGTTCGTTTCATGTGATATTCTTTTCGTTCGTTTCGTGTGATATTCTTTTCGTTAATATGTTAGTTCTGTAACTGAAAACAAAAATAAATGTTTTTAAGTAGTGAGTGCACTCATAGCTGAAATTGTACATATGACGTTTGTATTAGAAAAGTAAAAATGAAATGCATTCTTAAAAAAAAAAAAGAAGAAGAAGAAGAAGAAGTTTATCTCATATTTTGATAGAATACAGGTTTCTAAGTTGTTAACATAAAAATAATTTCCTTTTCAGCCACCAACATGTGATTTGGACAGTATCTGCGCTGCTGTTACACAGAATGTAATAGATCATACCTCCTTTGTCATGACACACTGCACATGTCCAGATGGTTTCTTTTGTCCAACTTCTATCGAACAAGCAAAAGAAAGAATTCGATTGGAGAAGGGATCGTATTATACAATGTCTTGCATCTGATGGTCATTGATATCAGGAATCTCAAAATCCCTGAGGATATTCTCTCATATGTTTCCGTATAAGGTGGAACTGAATCGTGTACTTTGGCCTAGTACTGAAAACTAAAAAAATAACATTCAGGTGTGAAAAATGCAAGCTTTAGACCAGAAGAGACTTTGAAAATACACAGGACGTAATTCAAGAAAAGTGTTTCTATTTATCCTTTTGCAATTGAAATTAAATACAAATGCATATGCAAAGGGAAAAGTATTTAACTAGAATGTCAGAAGGAAATAACCAATAAAAATTGGTTAAATATATCTGTCTAAATTAGATAAGTTTAGAATAAAGGTTTACTAGTTTAATACTAGTTAGTACTAGTTTATATACTAGTTTATATATATATACTAGTTTTTTTTTTTAAATATCATTTCGCTAGAAATATTCAAATCAACTTCACTAAAAGGTACAGGAGTTGAATAATGATATTGAAACACTTCCAGCTAAAGTGTAATACTTCAAAATATGCTGTAGGTTTTCTTCTGAAGGCCACTAAGTTATCAATTCTTCTTGGAAATGACCGCTAAAAATCTTTTCTGAGCACAACAGCGGCTGAGTAGTAAAGTCGCTGAATACTGGTAATTCGGTCCGAGGTTCGAGTAACCGCGAACAGGATGGCTACATGGCTGATTTTCGTGGTTCCCATGTATAATGTGGATACAAGCCAGTTTACCTTAGAAAGCCTTCCATGAAATAATCCCTTTTCTTAGGCTGGTATTCCTCAAGCGTTTGGTCCTAATCAAAAAAGCCAAACCAGAACTTTTTAAATCAGTACAATGGTTACTTCACTTCATGATAGTGGATGAGAAAAACGCTTCCCAGCTCTGTTCTCTAGTAGACCCCAGAAAAGCTGAATGGTGTCGAGATCAGAGTGGTGTTAATTCAATAGTGACTTGTATAATCTTCCACATTCCATACAATATTTCAGAATGTAAAAGGTTTTCAAGATCATTTTCATATTCTTCAAAACCATCCTGTCAGTCTTGTGGTGTAAACTGGTGTATTGATATCCTGATATATGGACGTCCATCAGGAAAGCTTGAATGACTGAATAGACTTTGCTCAACTATAGACCTTTATATGATGAGACCCCCCAGAACTATCTCTGTCCCTAAAGATTCCACTAGATTTCGGCTCAAATCTTCATCTATCCATCTCCATCTTTCATTCTAGGATCAAGCCAGTCTTTATCATGCATGTTTGAAGAAGGTGTCTGCACTTAAATTCTGAAAAGGGGGAAAGAAGGTGACAGCGAACTCATCACTAAACAATGAGCATTTTGGATTATGTACTGCTCATGTTCTGAGCTCCTGACTCTATTGAAATTAGCATTTAGCGGGGAGCTGTTAAGCAATGGATTTGATACAGCATCTGACTTTTGAATAGTAACCACGTAACGCTTCTGCTAGGCCGCTTTTGTAGAAATGTGTAAACTCGTATGGTTCCGAAGTTTACTGTAATTTGAATATACCTCGTTATATATTTTTTGACTGCAGTTCTTTTTATACTCTAACATCCTTTTCAGATAACTTTTTAGCTTAGCAATTACTCCGCCTCAACGAAGTTAACTTTCTTTTCTGTATATTCAGACGTAAACATGAATACAATAATTATCAATAAATTAAAACAATTAAAACTATCAGCCGTGTTGGAAGCAATACACTACTAAGACCAGACTACCAGACCTATCCAGAAAAGACCATTTGACTTTTTTCTCCATTTATGTTATATTATTCTTGATTTTTGAGTGCCTGTAATACAGCTAAAAATTCATACTCTACTGCTAGTGACGAAATTCAAAGTAATTTGGAGCTTCTTATCGGAACTTCGTACTATGGCTTAAAATTTGTGGAACTGTATTTGCCAAATATTTCAGTCTCATTGTCCAGACCCTGTGTTTTTAGTTATAACAATTCGTTGTCCCTATATTTTCAGTTAATAACAAATCAAAGGTAGAGAAAAGGATTATTACTCTAGCGCAGTAATATAAAATAATAATTTTGAGTAAAATGTTGTTAATGAATTACACATTTATTTGTGATATTTTCAGTTTCTTGCATTTTGTTCACTATTTTCTTATTCATGATTAACACTAGAACTAATGATTAACTTAAAAAAAAACCTGTCGGCAACAAGGGGAAAAAGGGAGTTCTTCTAACTAACTGGGTTGTATAGTTTTCGTGTTAAGCTGTGTGCTTCAAGTTTCCGTCTTGCACACGTGCGGGCGAGTAATACTGCTACATACTGGTACGTAGACTAAGATTCGATTTCCGGGGCCTGGCTGGCTGGATAAGCGTTTTCAGGATTTTTTCCATGTGTAACTTAAATAACATTCAGTTTACTGTAAAAGATTCTCAACAATATCATTCCTCCCATTAGAGGATAATCTTCACATACTTTGCGAAAAATGATTAAACATCGCATTCAAAATTACCGTCGAAAAAATTATAGGAAGTATTAATCTCTCAGCAATCACAATTGAACTGATATAAGATCCGTCACTTTGTCCTTGTGAATTGTTTAATAACTCACATATAACACTTAATTCGGTAGTTATGACTAATAATTCAACGAAAAGTTACTAGTAAAAAAATCCGAGGGTAACATTGTATTTGAGAAAATAATAGTCTTAGAAATTTTAAATTTTAAATGCGCCACTATAAGGATAGACGTATCTATGTAGACATGAATTTCCTGTATCGAAAGGTAAAAGGAAATTCTTCCTGTGTTAAAAGAAAGAAAAAGAAAAGGAAATTCTTCTTTTAAAAAGGAAATACTTCCTGTGTTGCTATTATTATCAATAGCTGCAGGTATTTTTCATTTATGAAGTAAAATAAAACAGCTATTATGTCTTAAAATACTGTAAAAAATATTAAGGAACTAATCTATACATTTTAGTCTAAGTGAATAACAATGCTCTAAACTCTAATTCTTGCTACTTTTAAAAGCAACAGTTTTCTTCTTTCTTTTTCACTCTCTCTCTTTTTTAAGTACTCTCGCGAAGCAAGAGTTGTTTCTCTTCTTTCCTTCTTCTCTTTCTTTTTCCTTTCTCTCTCTCGATCATCATCATTTTCCTCATTTGTTTCTCAGTTTGTGTGGTATCATATTATCATCCTTCTATCGGACTTCAATAGTCGTCCTAACGGCTTTTACTTCTTTTTTTAAATCATACGCTATAAAATAACTGAAATCACCATCGCAGACCATTAAAATTCTCCAGATTTGTCCTTAGTTTTTAAGATAATTTAAATCATACGCATGTTGTGTTTTAGCCATAACTGCCCCCAAAATGAAAATAAGAACAGAATGAAACTTTAAAGGAAATGTTACAAAATCGTTTGAGAGTCATATTCAAACGACAGCTGTTATGAGTGTACTAATAAATAATATTTATTTAAAAGAAATAGCCTTCTTAGCTGCTTACGCATTTTGTCCTATTGAACAAAATACAACTGTTAGGGTTAGTTACAAAAGTTGAGTGATTAACTGATTGCAGGAAACCACACGAGGGTTATCCATCCCAAAAGCGGTACTTAATTAAATAATTTCTAAGGAAAAATTGCTAGCACTAATTTTGTGCATCGGAAAGTAATGGAAAATTAAATATTTTGCAGTTTAACGAAGAAAAGAATGGAAACGATTAATTTCTGAAAATAAAATTGTTTTCGAACTCCTCAGTGAATGATAAATTACTCTCGTTTCCTCATCAGAATGCAAGAAGTATTTATGCATTTGTTAGTTAAATTATATTATCATCATATAGTTGGTAATTGTTAAGCCACATCTCCGCAAATACGCTGGTTTTGACCCGAATGTAAATTTAACACGTATACAACAAGCTTACTACAGGAAATATAAGAAATTTACACATTGGTTTGAACTTAACTGGAACAAGTCCTTAAAGATTTTGGGGTAAAATTTAAGTAATCTCTGATTATGCTTTTTGCACTTAGGAAGTTTGAAATATTGAAGTTTCATTTCAGAAATCGGTTAAATAATAACTGATTTCGTTCAAAAAATGTGCCTCTTTTTCTAAACAGTTCTAGTTTTTAAGGCAGTCTCGGTAGAAAAAGAGTACCGTATCTCCTCGAGTATTTTTCTTCCTTTTAACCTAATTTTATCATCTGAAAACTGAGAGTCAAAACTATGCGAATAATTGAATTTCCGAAGGGCGCGGCAACATCGAGAACAAAACAAATGAAAAATAGGCATTGATAAACTATAAGCAACTATCACAATTATTATTCCTTTAAAAGAAACCTACATTCAATTAGATTAGGTAGTAATATTAACGTCACAGTATCTAATAAGATATCTTTATTTCTACTTTCCTGTAACGTGAATCTCGCCTGTTCGTATCGTTTTCTTCGCTATTCCTTAGGCCCTTAAATTATCCGTAAATAATTAGAAGCTGACTCAGCAAAATCGCAGACTGAAGGTCAGTTCGTATTTGCTTTGCTGTGATTGGTCGGTTCTTGCATTAGGCTTCCAAAGTTCAACAATCAGAAGGGAAAGATTCGGCATGACCGTCGCAGGTAGTTTGCCGGAGCTTGCCTTTGTTTGTAAGACGAAAAAAATTCACGCCGTGGACGAATCTATTTTAAAATTTAGGGGAGCTCGCTCTCTAGAAGCACTGAGTAATGGGAAAATTACGCAAATATTTTTTTTAATTTCAGAACCTGGCATTAAAACGTCAAAAGAAAATATACACGAGGAAATACCATGTTTATAATTAAATAAGGCCATATTAATATTTATTACAAATGTATTTATTAGCAAAATTTACTTTCACCGACTATGTTAGAATATACTAATTTAGTTTATAGAGTGTATGGGTATTCTTTGGTAGCATACAACTTGGAATCTATATAGAAGACGAAGTACAAAATTCTCGCTATGTCTTGAAGAATAAAGACAGTAGAAGAAGAAGTTTAAATAACTTTTTTTATTTAAACTAAATTAAAACAGATGCACGCACTTCGTGCTCACAAATCACCACCACTTATGGCTACGTAAATTAATATAAAAATTATGTAGCAAATTACTAGTAAATTAACATATTATTGACTGGTTCCTTAGTTTAACTAATGCTAAATCGGCTACACACAGCAAAGCAGAGCCGAGGAGTATCAATATAAACTGAAAGGTGTCTAACACCGGCTAAGAGAGCTAAATTCAAATACGCAGCATAAACTCAGAACTAAGT